ACAATAAAACCTTCAAGATGAAAACTTTTCTATTCTTGGGATTCATGTAGCACTAAGGGTGTCAACCCTAAGCCTAGAAACGGATTTGGACCATAAAAATCCATTTTTGGGACCAAAAAGATCCAAAACACCATTATCATAGATCTAAGTATACATGAGGCACGTTGTGAGCTTTTTACGTCAAATGAGTGCTAAATGGTGATGATATCTCAGATCCTTGAGCTCAAGCTTCTCAAGTCCATCTTCACCAACTTCTTTTTTCTCCTTCTAAGCTTCAACCCACTAAAATGGGCTTCAAAAGATCAAAATCACACAAGGATGAAGAGGGTAAGGTTTCTAGGGTTTCTGAGTCAAGGAGGATGGTAAGGAGGCTAGGGTTTGGGACATAATGGGGTATTTATATGTCTTAAACAATAAAAATTAAGGTTTTGAGTCTGTTCGCATACGATGTGCGTACACCTCGGTACGCTGCACGTACGCGCATCAACCCACGCATCCAATGCCTTCACTATGCCTCGCGTACGCCAAGCTTACGCCCATCATACGTCTTTATATGGCCCAAATATATAACGAACCACTCACTAAGGCCCAACTCAATATTCCAACATTAATATTATAGTCTAATAATTAATTACAAAGAAATTGAATAATTATCATTACTTCAAATCACGGGTGTTACATGCGTTGTGCCATATATTCTTTTATGTGTTTTAATTGATTATTTGTGTGTGAATTGGGTATGGGGGATATGTTTTGGTGTGTGTAAGTGTTTTCTTTGATTTTGTTTTTTTCTTCTATTGGAATATTCTTCCAAGTGCAGGTAATCACAGTTCAGTTAAGCTCATCTTAATCAGAAGGTTGGAGATGTTGTTGGTGGAAGTTTTGACCAAATTACCCCTATCAATGGTGTGGCGGAATCATTGAAGTTGTCTACCAGGCTTTGATGCATAAAGAGATAGTTATATCAGTTGCGGCCTAAGATCATGGATATGCAGATGTTGGGGACTTGTTCTTCTTCAAAAACATGCCCCTAATGGATGATGTGTAATCAGTATAGTCACTTGTCGTTACACTACAGGCCATGGATTGTCTGCTCCACAAAATGTTGGTATCAAGGAAGTCTTATACTCTTGAATATAGTAAGGCAATTTTAAACTTGGTTTTTGCCTTAACGTCTGTTGCTGTTGTCTTTTAGTGAGCTCCAGTGCTACATCAATTATTAATCCATGTTTGTCATCAAATGATATGGGTAATTAGCCCTAATATAAAGTTTGTTATCCAAGTTGGTTGTTGTTGTTGTTGATCTCCTGGATATCCCCTTCCCTAGGCACTAGTTACATCTTTCAATCATTTTGATATTACTCACCGTGTGTGTAACATCTGTAAAAACCATGCCAAATTTAAACTTTTTAAAACATTTCAAAACCCATGGTTATTACAGAACTTGTTTTCAAAATAGCATAATGCCAAAGTTTCCCATAATCAAATCATAAAATGTGAGGAGTTGTACGATCACGCCTTCGCCTTCCCGCAATCATCAGAAGTACCTGAAACAAAATCAACAACTGTAAGCCAGAAGCTTAGTAAGTTTCCCCAAAATACCAACGTCATTCAAACATAACCATATCATATATCAAATACAAAACAGTATGCATAATGAGCCATCAGTCTTACTGGACCGACTCCCGATCATCAGTCTATCTGGACAGCTCTCCGAGCCCTCGGCACGTCTGGACCGCCCTCCTTGGGGCCTTTAGCCTATCCAGACCGCTTTTCGGGCCTTCGGCCTGACTAATTTTCCCATCCCGTACATGCAGTCTATACAATCCGCCCTGTGTGTATTGGCCTACAGCACACAGCAGGACCTGCCTCAACCCAATCCCCCAAACCAACAAACATGTGCACATACATGTAAACAAATAGGCATGTAGATCTAACAGATCACTAATCATGGCAACCATACTATAACCAGGATACTGATCTAACTAATCACTAGCATAGCAACCATGCTATAACCAGGATACTGATCTAACCGATCTCTAACATATCAACCATCCTATAACCAGGATACATATGATAAAACATAACGTGCAATAAACCCGAATACAAAAAGAAAAGGGTTGACATTGGTGCCTTCGACCTTGTTAGTATAGTGAGGACAACTCACCTGGCACTACTTAAGTCCTGTGGATGAAACTACAACTACTAGTTAACAGATTCCCGAACTGCCAACATCAAACAATACCCAATAAATAATTGGGTTCCAAGCTGAAGGTCCAACTCACACTCTAAATGTCCAATAGTCAAGTAATGGGCCAAAGCCAACATATGGCCTAATTTTCTAAATTGGGCCCATACCTCTACATGGTCTTTCCTTAAGGCTCATCCATTCATTCTAGTCCAAACTATTGGTATACCAATGGCCCAATATCTCATAATCATCAAGGCCTAGTTACGGCACAACTCAAGGCCCAAGTGAAATTAGGTAAGTGTTCCTGCTTAACCCATTAAGGATTTAATCCATTAAGTCCAATATTGCCTTAGGTTAATTTGCCAATGATTATTAATTAATATTTTAAGTTATTAAATAATTCCCATGCGTGTCCCGATCAATCCCCAAAATTAGGGTTTCATGACATTAGGGTTTTCCAAAACCCTAATTAGGGTTTCCAACCCACATACTAGCCCATTAGTCAAATGGTTGGGCTTTTAGGTCAATTAGGGCTTCATTGGGCCCATTAGGGTTTTATTAGGCCCACTAGGGTTTCATTACTCGGGCACCACCCACTACCACCTCGGGTAGTGGTGGTTAATGGCGGCTCACAGCGGTGGCCACCGCCTCACGGCAGTGGTTAGGGATCTAGTCCAACTGAGTCCAAGCATCCTAAAAGTTATCCAAACACATGCAAAGCACACCGCCACCCAACACGGCGGTCGGTGGTGGTTTTGAGTTTTCTTTTTATTATACTAGCATTTATTACAGTTTACAACACAAATCCCAAATAAACACTCACACGCTAAAATAAACACACACACAGCTACCCTTGTGGTCGTCGGCAGTGGTACGTGGTGGCAGTCACCACCTCACGGTGGTGGTGATGGGTTTTCCAGCTAAAAATAGTACATACAAGATTATGCTCACAAAACTCATGCAAACACACTCATACACACAAAACACACACATCACCACTCCCCACGGTGGCTGGTAGCGGTAGAGGGAGTAATCATGCACGGCAGCCACCATGGTTGGCTGCCATGGTGGTTGATCACATCTTCCGACCAATTAAACACATTCTCACATGCGACATGGGTTGAGACTAACACCCGCACGACGGAACTTACACACCCACGAAGCAGCAACCTCACCCGTCGGAGGGAGGCGGCAGCTGGAGAACCTACAAATCGTAAACAGAAGAAGCGTCGGTGGCTGAAGGCGGCAGAACAAAAAGGAAGAAGAAAAAGAATGGCAACAGCAAACAGTGGCCACAGTTGCGCCTACAGCCGGCGACAGCAACACAAACGGTGACATTCCCGACTATAACGACGCGTCAACGGTGGTTTTCGGCTTTGACGACGATGGCGGCGACTGGACGATCATGGGCAATGGTGGCAACAACAGTGACTATCGGTAGTAAAGAAACAGTGGGGCGGTGGTCTTTGCCAGCCGGAGAATGGGAGTAAATGGTTGGTGGTGCGGCGGCTGGAAGAGGGAGGCATAAGGGTGGCGGCTAATGAGGGACTCCTAAGGTTAGGGTTTGGGCTATGAGGGTAACAGTTATATACTCCCGTCCCATATCAACCTTTTCCATATGTAAGATTCAGTCCCTCCTTCCCCATGTCTTTCAAAATGAATCCATATTTTACCTTTTTAATCCCATCCATCTAAAATCCCTTCAAATTAAGTCCAACATTTTACCAAGCAGTCCCTCCCTCTATAAAACCTTTTCAACTTAGGTCCAAAATTTACCCTTTAGCCCCTACTTCCATAAATCCTTTCATATCAAGTTCCATCTTACCAAACACCCCCTGTCTTCTAAAAATCTTTACAAAATAAATCCCAAAACTTACACTTTTAACCCCCAACTTCTAAAACTGTGACAGTCGACTCCTCAACACCAACCATTGATATATAATTATTGATTTTAGGGCTACTATTCGTTCATTAATTTGTTTATTTATTTATTTAATAAACGGGGTGTTACAGTGTGTTTTGGTGTTGCTTTTAAATTCCTATGTATTTTCCCTTTGTTCTTATGTATTTGTATTTTATTTTTTGTAACTGTCACAGCTTTTAGCTGGATCTTTCTAATGTTTATATTTATTCAGTCGTTCAAAAAAATGTAGATAAAAAAAGTATATTAAAAAGGATAGATCATATACCAACCACTTGAGAAAATGAAACCATATGGTCTATGATCGTAACAAAAAAAACGTTAGAGACAAAACTTGCAAATCTAGAAATCCATATGGACTATTTATGTAACTTTGTCTAATATTAACAATAATAAAATACACCAAAGAACAATAAAACAAATAAAAGACTAAAGAAAAATCAAATCTGTTCACGAAGTAAGAAACATCTAGAGGATTAAAAAAATGTCAGTACATGAAGAAATGAAAGGATACATATAGAATATCATTTTATAAAAGTCATGTTATATTGAGAAATTAAATATATTTCTATTTTTTGATTTTACAAATCTTCCTATCCAATTAAATCATAAGATATGTTATATTAATATATTAAAATATTATTAAATTTCATTAAATATATATTAAATATTATACATATCAACGATTTAATTAGATAAAAAATATATATATGAAAAAAAAAATAAAGGGACATTTAATTTCTCTTTTATGTTTTTACCTTTGATTTAGCATAATTGGATTTTACTATATCAAATGTTTTAAAGTTTGGGAATTTCCACTATTTAAATAAAAAGTTTTCGCTTAAGAATCAAGCATACAATAGTTTTAAAATAGCAAAATTTGACGATGTCACGACTTATATATACGATATAACATACCCTCTGGTTTATTTAAACTTGTGAAAGTTTTATAAATCCATCATATCATGTGAGCTTGCAATCGTAATACAACTGATGTGTCGATTCCCTTCGCTAATGAGTATTGTACACGTTTTCATGTTTTACAAATACATTGATATTTATTCGAACATATTTCCAACGCTAAATATGTATCTATAATTACATGGCTCACAGATATAAACGATCCATTTCAAGCGTGTTTTTAGTTCTTTTAGATAGCCAAAACTTCATATAATAAAGGTACTTATGTAGTATTTGACATTACTATACCCAAAATACGTTATTCCAAGATATATGATGAAGGTATTCCATACCTCGTTCTAATGGGATTCTCAGGGTCTTTCCTGTAATTTTACTATTTGACTAGTATGATTTCGAACTTCAACCCCAATCAACTACAAAAACACATGTATAGGTAACAAAGTGCAAAGATCAATATTGCACTTATCTAAATTCTAAAGTTTCTAATTAGTTGACTATGAGAGATATCATCTTCAAGAATTGTCAAGCTATCTAAAAACCCAAAGAAACATATAAGCTAATATGACGCTATCGGTCATGATTCGTTTGTTGTGATTCCGGTCTCCCGATTCCATTCACTTTTTGGGATCTCACCGGAATCACTAATTACGACCTTTTTCCTTGGTTTTCCACTGTACGTACCCGCTCCTCCTTCTATCGCGTACACGTTATCCATCCCTTCGATAACTTTGCCAAACACAACATGTTCTCCATCCAACCTAGAAAATCACGGTTGTCAGATGCATGAAATAGCAACATACTTTCATTTATTTGTTTATTATAGCATTCTACTTTTAGAAACTTTTCAAATTATAGTTTCCTATTTGTCACAAAATCTTATTTTGTGAACATTTCACCTTTTTCCTTACTTAATGCAACACGTTAATGATTTTTAATGTTAAATACTTCAATAAGCCTTAACTGTATAAGCTTAAAAACTTACCAGTAAGCCTTAACTGTAGTGATGAAGAACTGTGAGCCATTGGAATCTGGACCTGAATTCACCATGGCCACCATACCTACAAAAAAATGTAAGCTTTAGAAGAAGATAATAATGTATGCCATAATGCCACTTAGAACTGTGTTTGTTACATGTGATATTTCAATGATGGGGATGAGAAGGGTATTTACGTCTTACCTGTGTTTGTTACATGTGATATTTCAATGATGTAGATGCAGTACAACTAGTTATGTCATGTCAGATGCAGATGCAGATGCAGTACAAGGGGGCTAAAAGGGATGGTAGTAGAAAGTTAAAAACCTGGGTGTGAGTGTTTGATCTTAAAATTTTCATCACGAAAGGTACCACCATATATGGATTGATTCCCCCTCCCATCACCAAAGACAATATCTCCACCTTGAATCATGAACCCAGGTATGATACGATGGAATGGGATTCCTTTATAGTGTAGTGTTTTACCATTATTACCCTTGCCCAATTCCCCTAATAACACCAACAGAAAGTTATATAAGTTGCACATAAAAACTGATTGTTTTAAATAGTGGTCGTGATTTGAAGTCACAAATATCAAATTTTTAGTGATTTGCAAAAACAGTTTAAGTTTAGAATCTAACAGAAGATGAAACCATGATTACCTGTGCATAAAGCACGGAAATTTTCTGCAAAAGATGAAAAACAATGAAGTATTGGTTAAAAGATAATAGATAACCATCATATAATATTTTAAATCTACAGTTAAGTCATTAACATTATATCCATACAGAAGATTAAAAGCTCACCAACAGTTTTTGGCACAACTTCTCCATACAATCCTATAACGATTCTTCCTGCAATTTAAGGTTGGAACTTAAACAGATCAAAACATAGTTGGAATTTTTTTACATTAGTGTACAAGAAAAACAAAGAGTTGGAATCTTTTACATTAATCAAAATGCAATACCTAACCGTTGTTTATCAATATCAACATCCAGGAAAACTCTGTGAGTAATTTCATGCACCTCTTCTACTGTCTCTTCCTCCTAAAAAGTTAGGTAACAGGTAAGAGAAAGCTTCTTACATCGGCTCTGAATTCATATATCTCAATCATCTATTATTTGATCCGTATAACAGGTTTGCACAAATAGAAAATCATCGTTATAACTGTACTAATAATCTCATCTATAGATCCGAATAACAGAAGAAACCCTTGGAATTTATATTGGTTTTAACGAACATATCTAAACCCAACTCAGTTCCAACAATTGCGAGTATCGATAGAAGAAATACCTGTTCAGAGAACGATGAGAAGGCAAGGAAGACAAGAACTGAACCGATCAAGAAGATAATAAGGAATCGCGGCCGTAGAAGATTCGAAATCTCTCGACCCATTTCTGATTCAGATTCAGATTCTTCGTCTTTCTCATACATTCACCCAATCTCCGAACCACAAGCGATCTAAATCCACCAATTCTTCAATCATTAAAGAAACACGCTGAATAAACTTTGAAGAAGATCAGAAACCACTACTGCAAGTGGATTACAACTTTTTCCCCCTTTTTCTTAACATGGGATGTCAGTCAGTGAATTGATTTAACGTTACTTTGCTTCTTAATCCTCCGTTTTTGGAGCTGAACTTATCAGACTACGTAAAAATGAATTATTTCTTTGTCGTTTGGTGTCTTAATCCGTGTTCTTGATGGAATCCACTGGGATTGGCTCACACACACACCAGGTGTTTGACTAATTGTCTCTAAGACGGATACCGAATCACGAAGTTAGGTTTAGAGTTTCTTGTTGAATGCACTTTGTTAATAAATATTTTATTTATTATTTTTATTCTAATATTTTTATTATATATTATAAATTATTATTTTTATTTAAGTTGTATTTTAAAAATCTATATTATTTTCAATCCGATGTACTTCTACTAATTTGTTTATTATAGCATTTTACTTCTATATTTTGTATTCCATCATCAAATCTTATAAAATCTAACTAATCATAGTTAGTAGCGGATCCAAATTTGTCGGTTTGGGACATTAATGATCATCTATATGGTGGGCTCCCATCAAAACAATAGGGGTGTGTCAAATGATAACTTTTGCATTCCAAACTAAAGAGAAAAATTGTCTTTTTGAAATAGAATAAGTACACAACACTTATTATCACTCGATAGTTATTGATTTGATCCCCTAAATCGGTGTTGTATGTTTCTATTTTGGGGGTGATAATATACTTTACTAAACGTGAGTGTAGAGGTGATATGTGTGTTTGTAAGTACAAATGTTATGGTTGAAAGAGATCAAGATGCATAGAAGTTAAAACATGAGAGAATCTATCTTTATATCATTTTTTCATTGGCGTGCTTATAGGAGAAGGATGGGCAATTCTTGAGAGCCTTATTCATCTTGCTTGTGGGCAAATCAAATGATAGATGAAGAGGAGCAAAGAGTTATCTTCACCACTTGAGATCCTTCTGGTCTTCATAATTTTCGTCCCTAGCACCCTTGCACTCTTTTTGTTACAAAAACAACCCATTTGTTGTAAAAGTGGTTCTACTAAGTTCAAACTAGATAATCCATGTCCATGTTGTAACAATTGTGACAAATGTCATCATTTATTATTTGCAGAAAGTGACAAACGTCAAGTATAATAGACTTTATATGTAATATATATCAATCTATGATAAAAATATAAAGTTCCGTATTAAGAAAAATTGAAAAAATCAACCAAATCGTCTGTAATTCATAAAAATAGGTGTGTAGAAAGCAAGGTTGCAAAAATCGAGATTAATCGGTGATGTTCTTCAACCCATTAGGATTAGGGGTGTTTGATGAAAATTAGTGATTAATCGGGTTTGGCGGGATTAATCAGTTAATATATGTCAACAAAAGTAAAAGAAAAGTCAAAAAAGTATTTTTTTTTTTTAAACAACTTTTTTTACTCCAAAATTTTCATATTTTTGTATTTTCAAATTTTCAAATTACAAATTTTATTATTTTCTAATTTTGAAGTACTCGTTTTTTTTTAAATATAATAATCTTTGATTAATTTTAATATTTTATTAATAACATATGGCCCCGATTAATCTTTGTCAAGACCGATTAATCTCTTAACCCCAGTCTATCGTCAAACGGCTTTACAACTTTGGTAAAAATTATAACATATTCCAGAAGTACACGTCGTCTTGATCCTGGAAATATAAATTTCATAGAAACCCGACTTCGTATAAATAAGATATATTTTTTATAAGTTATAAAAGTAGATCGCACACAATGAATGTGTAACGTTAAAAACTACGAAGACATTGGTTGACTTTTAGCTAAAGTCATCAAAAATAAATTCATAATACTCTTTAAGATAGAAATTTTGAGAAAAAGAATGTCAAAACATAGTACATACGAGAGAGTAATAGTTTTAGCAAAATCATTTAATTGTATAAAAATAGGGACAAAATATAAAGTCAGATTTAGTGAATACAACCTAAAGGAACGTTGTATTACCCGTTGATAGCTACATGTGGATATAAAGAACGTCGAAAACAGAGCTCGTATAAGGAAGTTACAAAATTTATAAAATTTGTGATTTCCCCGGCTCGCGTAGCTTCTAGAAGGGCGACATGGACCACCACGAAAGTGACACGTACCAGCCCCAAGCACCCCCCCCCACCCCACCGTCATATGCACATCATGCACCCCATTTTTACAAGGCACACTTCGATTTTCAGCTATAAATAGAGATGCACTCCCATTCATTTCTTATACCCACTTCTTCTATTCTTCTCTCTCGTTTTTGGCCAGCCCTAGGTACTATGTTACCTTAGAGAAATAGCTTATCATTGTATTCATATTCTTTGATAGGATATTAGGAGATGGTAACATAGTAGCTAAAGCCGACCAAATATGAAAGATAGTATTGAATCTTGAAATTAATCGAGCCACTTCTCTAGGGTGACATAGTACCTAGAGTCGGACAAATCTAAAGAATAAGTTTAATACATTGTAACGACTCAAAAATCATAATTAATTTAAACTTTTCAAATCAGCCCATTTACTAATAAAAGTGTTTACAAAATCATTGTTTTCAAAACATTGTTCAAAACAGATTCTCCCAAGATCAACAACATAAAATCAAGATGTGTGTGGTCACGCCTTCGCCTTCCCACGATCCCCGAGAAGTACCTTAAACCATAACCAAAAACTGTAAGCCAAAGCTTAGTGAGTTCCCCTAAAGTACCACCACATAATATACATATCATATATAAACAAACATGCTCGGTTCGATCAATCATGGGACCGGAATACCCATGGGTCCATAGCCATCAAGCTGGATTACCTCATGCCCAATCAGTCATCGGATTGGAATGCCAATATACAACAGGTCCACTCAGTTATCGAACTGGTATACCAATATACATCGGGCCCACTCAGTTATCGGACTGGAATACCCTCGGGTTCACTCAGTCATTGGACTGGAATACCCCTGGTCTGTTGACTCATGCACATAGCAGTAAAGTCTCAACCAAACACAATATATCAACATATAACAGATAACAAACATAATCAACAGATAGATAATCATGCAGCTAGAAATCACAGGTAGCCGTACAGGTCTACCGGTCTATGCATATCAACAACTATCATATAATTATACAGATCTATCTCATAAGCATATCATAACTCAAGGTATAACAGGATATCAATCCAATGGGCCGACCTTAGTGCCTGCGACCCGTAAGTACAATGAGGAAAACTCATCTCACAATCTAACAAATAGTTGATCAATACTCTGATCCCAAATACCGGCTCAACCTAAATCCTAAATGACACAACATTATCCAATAATAATATTTTCCCCAAAATACCCTTGGTCAAACCAGATCAACGGTCAAAAGTCACGTCAACACCTAGCCGAGTCATCCCAGTCGAGCCAACTCGACCGAGTCGACCCAACCAAGTACGTTGGGCATACTCTTCTGTACGCAAGGCGTACTCGACGTTTAACCAGCTTACGGGACGATGACCGCGTATGTGAATCGTACCACTTGGTACGCTTAACGTACACATCCTGTTTAGTCCTTTTCCCTATTAAGAACTTAATACTCCAAATCTCCACGTCCAAAGTCAGATCCAAAGCCAAATACCCTCAAGAGTCATAAAGTTTCCAACTTTATGACTTTGCATGTCCATTGAGTGTTTAAAACACAAAATCACAACATCTTAATGCATTAATACCTTCTATATCATGCATGGAACAAAACTAACCATCAAGACCATATTTTATGACTTAAGACACCTCTTAAGGTCTGAAAGGACGCCTTAATGGGTCAAGAACATGTCATGCACAAGAATCACCATATTTGAGACAAAAAAGTATCTTAAAGGAAGAAATGTCTAGATCTACAAGATGGAGTGATCAAGATGTGAACTTTATACCTCTCGGAGGTTGCTAATAAGAAGGTAATCTTAGATCCAAGATGCATCCAAGCTCCAAGCTCTTCTCACCACTTTCTTCTTCTTCAAGAACACCTCCAAAACACTCCAATGGCCTTAAAATGCACTCTTTTCACTTAGGGTTTGCTTGGGATAGTTTTTTCATAGAGGGAGGCTGATGAAGACATGAGACGCGAGGCTATAATGGGGTTTATATATGGACCAAACCCTAAAATTAGGGTTTGCACATTCTTCGCGTATGCCCCGTATACGAGGTGTACGCCCAACATACTAGGGCATACCCTAGTACGCCTAGTGTGCACAACGTACGCTCATCGTACTACTTATGTATGGAATTAACATATTGCCACTATGGGCCATTTTGCAATCCTTTTGAACCCAAGGGCTAAAATACAACATTATTCAAACATAGGGTTGAAATTGAAATTACCTTGACATCAGGATGTTACAATTATCCCCCACCTGAACTAAACATTTTCCTCGAAGTCGGCCATCGTGAATAACTGAGGATAATGCTTATGCATCTTAGGCTTCAGCTCCCAGGTCCACTCGGAGCCTCTCCAATGTTGCTACCGAACCTTTACCAAAGGTATCTCCTTGTTGCGCATGACCTTCATCTTCCTCTCCAATATAGCCTCCGACCTCACAATATAATCAAAGGATTCATCCACCTGAATATCATCCAAAGGGACGACTACCTCACCGTCCAACACACACTTCCGAAATTGAGTAACATGGAAAGTGTTGTGGATCTGACTGAGCTCACTCAACAAATCCAACCGGTAGGCCACCGTGCCTACCATGGCGATCATATAGAATGGTCCAATGTACCGGGAACCCAATTTCCCCCTCTTCCTGAAGCGTATCACACCCTTCCAAGATGAGACCTTCAGTAGTACCATATCGTCGACCTGAAATTCCAACTCCGATCGGCGTTGGACAACATAACTCTTATGTTAACTCTTAGTTGTCTGTAGTCTCTGCCTGATCTGTTGAATAAGCTGAAGGGTTTTGAGCATTCTAACACTCCTATGGTGTACATGCAACCCTAAATACCTTGGATCTATTTTTCTCTATTATACATGCAAATATCAATTTTCCAAGGTATTGTTCTAACTAGCATAATATGAACTACATATAATATAAATTCTAGTATAATTGCATACCTCTTTGTTGTCGCTTGATTCCATGGAGCTTAAGAGCCTAGTTCCTCAAGTGTGGCACCTCAAATGGTTCACACAATATCACCAACATCTTGGAATAACTTCAGAGAAAAGGTTCCTATGCTCAAATTGGCTAGCCCTCATGTGTACACACACTAGTGCCAATTTC